TCTTGCACATACATATTTTATATGTGAGATTCGGTCCGTTTGAAAATGATTAGGGTTGAAAAAAAAAAAAAAAAAAAAACGCTAATCAATGATCTAATAAACCCATGTATTAATTAATTGTTCAAATTTTATGAAAAGGAAAAACTTTTGCGTTCCCCCAAGAGACTTTGCGTGTTCACTTGCAAAACATTTGCATTCCCTTGCAAAAACTTTTGAGTTCCCGCAAGAAACTTTGTGTTCGCTCCCAAACAACTCAAAAGTTTTGCGAGCGAACGTAACGTTTCTTAGGGGAACAAAACATTTACGAGAGAACGCAAATGCATTGAAATATAATTTGTACAACATTGAAATAATAATAACTGATACTCTAAAGGGTTAGATTCCTTAAACTTTGCTGTACTAAAAGTTATTGACATGTCAAGAGTGTTATTAATCACAATAATAATATTGGGTTGAGTAAAATGGCTAGAAGAAACAATATTTTTCCTAATAGACCTATTAAACAATCTGCCATGCAGTCAAATAAGAAAAGTAACACAAAACAGGAAACTACAATCAAATCTATGCATATATCGAATCAAAATTTGATTCAAAATCGATTTTTAAAAAAAAAATCAAATCGTGAGGTACCAACAATTCCCAACCCCTAATCACCATGTCCCTTCAGGGGCTCCGTATTTATCAAAATAACAGCTAGTTACAAATATTTGCACAAAGATGTCACAGGTATTATGGATAACACCAGTTTCACTTTAGCTTTTAAATTCACGATCACACATACTGTGTATAGGGAGCATATTTTACAGGATAGCCTATGTTGCTCAGGATCTGTTGCGCACCAAATCCTCCTGTCAGTCATCTCTCAGTCCCTACTCTCGTTTCGTGATAAGTGAAATCTGACTCCTGCTGTGAATTTGCTGCTTGTGCTGTAGCCTATATAGAGTGGAGCAGACGCTTTCAGTTTATATTTGTAGCGTCTGTTGTCCAATGTGAACTAAATTGGTTAGTTTTATTGATATAAAAAAAGCAAAATAAGCCTAATTATGAATGCTGATTAAGCAAACATTTGAAGCTATATTCAAATGATCTTCTACTGAAAATAGTTTGACTTTGAAGTTAGGCATAATCTAGGACACCAACCCAAGCTTTAATTATCTGTGAAGCCGAAACATATGCGCAGTGCACAACATGAAATGCAGACAAAATCATCCGAATTAGGGCTGGGTAACGGTACAGATGTCCCGATTCCATTCGATTTCCATTCTCAATTCGATTCAATGAATCCAATGATTTAATTTTCACTGGCCCCACCACAAAAAAGTAACAAATTAATATTTTTTTTATTGTTTATTCAGTGAAGAGAAGGGAGAGATTTCTTTGTCTATTGTAGTTTGATTAACATTAAAAACACAGACAGCTGGAATATCAGGCTGCTGTCACAATGTATGGATTCAATACTGATACATATGCGTTCTTATATACGTTCTTTCATATACGGTTTGTTCACTTAAGCCATAATAACCGACTAGGTTTACTTGGATACTCGCAAAGGTGGCCAGGCATTTTGAGATTAAAATTTTGTGAATTTGTTCGTTTAAGCGAAGGGAAACGTGAAAGAGAATTAATTTTATTATTTGTACGCACAGCCATGTGTTTTGTGTGCACAAACCACAAATGATACGCTTTTGTGACCATGCAGCACTGGCCCGATCGCAACAGTGACAGTTTCTTCAACTGTCCGGAACATCTCACAGCCTGAGAGGCCCACCTTCATCCGTTATGTCAAGCACAGGCTCCCCGCTGTAACATTGTGCAAGGTAAATAAGAGGAGGATGACATATAGTGGAGAAGACTAGTAGGCCAGGCCTAATAAGATTAACGTTAATCAGATATTATGTTCAATGTTTGCAGAAATAAATACGGAAAAAAGATCGATTCGTGGCTTTTGAGAATCGATATCGAATCGACCACATTTAAAAAAACAATTAATCAAAAAATCTTTTTTTTTTTTTTTGCCCAGCCCTAATCTTAATTCAATGTTAATGGTAGGCCATTTTTTTTTTCATAAACACTTTGATATTCTGGCTGAAGCTCTCTTCACATCCTGATAACAATCAATAACAGAAGTAATGTTTTTTTTTTTTTTTTTTTTTTTTACATAGCCTACATCTTCTGTGGAAGTGTCGGGACCAAAAAAAGTTCGTCCGATTACTGGCTGAGTGCGTTCATGTGTTTTGAAGGAGGAGTGGCTTTGGAGAGAGCGCTCTGAAGGGAGGGTGGGATCTTATGCTTTCAAAGCTAGCTTTCTATTGCTAGCCTCTCTGAAATTGCCTTCTCTGCCTTAAAATCCATTACTACTCATTACGTTTTATTTTAGATTTCAATTATTTTATCCATTCAACTACAAGCACAGATTAATATCTTTTGTTACTGTGACATTCTGTTTGCATGAAAACACTTCCTGAAACAAAAGGCTTCAGAGATTTACTTTCACATTTACACAAACACACCTGTTTCAAATACACTCTGCCTCACCCTCGCACACACAGACACACACACACACACACACATACTGCAGATTACGGCTTAGCCCTAACAGAGACTGTCTTTGTTTAAATAACTAGAGTCTTCAGGAGTTTTTCCCGAGGGACAAAAGATGGCTGTTTCTGGTAGTCTGCTCCAGCCACAAGTTCAGTGAGGCTTTGATCACCTGTGTGACAGAGGATTTCAGACCACACAGCACGATCTTAACAGATTACTTCACGATGAACTGATACCTTTAACCGCTTTAGATAAGTATTAGTGTCTCTGATTACCAGAAAAGTTTAAAGGTAAGGAGCATTGCCCCGAGCATGAAGCCTTCTGAATCCTTTACTTAGCATTAGTGCCACTGAGACGAGGCTGCACCATTGGTCTGATCACAGTGGCTGTGTAACAGCAGACACAACAGTGTCTTATGAATGATTCACGACCTCTTCTTCTTCATTATCAACCCAATTCGCACACTAGGCGCTGACTCATCCTCGGTGGCAGATGATGATCGTATTTGACGAACACAACCAGCCAGACGGTTCACGCATATGAGTGGGAGCTGGTCTCACACTTGCGAAAAATCTCCCACGATAATCTGGCTAAACATGCCATTTCCTCTTCCTGACTTTACTATCTTTACGGCTGCAACAGGAAGTGCAAGGGACAAAACTAGACATGTTTACACATTAAAATTACACTTATTTAAATGCAAATCTAAATCTTAAATGCTTTTTGGTTGATTTACAACAACGCAATGACTGCACAGACATGCACCAGGCTACTAGAAGCATATAAAAGTGCAGTGCATGATCAATGCAAGCTTTGTGCGTATATATCCTGGTGTTTGTGTTGGACTGTCGGCCATTTTCCTGTAAGCTCAAAGCTGTCTGATTCTCACTCACACACACACTGAAACAAGGCAGGAGATGGCTTCCCTCTAACGTTACATACACAAAAAACAAAATTGTCAAACAAAAATAATCTTATAATCCTCACACAACCCAGACAAACTAGGCGTTTCAGTCAAATAATCTAAATAACGTCTTATAATATCTATTAGAACTGTTTTTGTCACTTTGTTTTTTTTTTGCAAAAAAAAAAAAAAAACTCCTTCCTTTTTCTCTGCTAACGTTATTTACTTTATGTTGACACATACACGCTGACTGATCGCTACTAAGCCAAATAAAGACGTTATAAAGAATTTTAAGGTCAAAAACAACGTTGTTTTTAATCACTTTAGCCGGTTAGCGTTTGTGCTAACAAAACTCACCACATCTTGAGGGATCAAAGCTTCATCCTTCTCCTCCTTTTTTAAATCCTTCTGTCCGAGAGCGGAGTTGAAAGCGAGTTTTACCATGTTGTGTAACTGTTGTTAATGTTAAATGTTTTTGTCTATGCCTTTTTCACCTAACTATGGAGAGCTCGACGACCTCTCTGTACACTGTGCTGCCTCACAACTTGCTGTGGCGCATTTAGCCCCGGATTCAGACTGTATATACATCAGTGAACGGGAAGGGGGCGCTGTTTCCACCAACCTTTTAATAAAGTTGAAAATATACCTGTAATAAATGTAATGTCTACATGAAAAGCACAAGACATAATATAATATGATATGATATGATATGATATAATATAATATAATATAATATAATATAATATAATATAATATAATATAATATAATAATCAGTTTAGGGGCATGGTTAAAACAAAAACAAAAAAAACTGTCCAACCCAACATAATAAAAACAACCAGGTATTGTTTATTTGAGTGCAGGTAATGTTTATGTGGAAAATAATATGTTACGAAATCCTTGCAGTAAGATTGCAAAGGGTGTTGTCTGATAGGAAGTTCTGGGAACGGTTAGAGTGAGTTATGATGACATATTGGTAACACTTTACAATAAGATTACATTCATCATTAATATAGGTTCATTTATAAATATACATTGTTCATTGTTAATTCATATTTGCTTATAAAAAACTAATTTTAACTATATACAACCTGAAATGTTAAAATGTTTATGTAGAAATTAATTTTTAACCACAATTATTAAATGCTGTAAAAGTATTGCTCTTGTTAGGTCCTGATACCTAATGCACTCACTAATGTTAACAAATTACACCTTATTGTAAACTGTTACCTAAATATTTTAGTGTAACTTTACCCATGACAAATGCTCTATAGACACTTTACCAGCGTGACGAAATAAATAAATGACTGATAAGCCTTAATAGCCTTGATATAATTTAGTACACATGTGTTCAATAAAATCATTACTTGGAAGAGGCTATTGAGAAGCTGGAATAAATATTCAGTATGAATGATCCATAACAGTCAATCTGGAAGTACAGCATGTCCATCTTACTACTTAAGGTCAGGGCCATAGACTGTAAAAAAATAGGTCAGGGCACAAGCTCAAAATGAGCAAGAAAAGGCTTAAGGTGAGTTCAGTTCACCTGGTCCTGAATCAGATAAAGCCAGGGAGTGATCAGATTGATTTCTTAATTACATAAAATCCCTTTTAACTCTCTCTGAATGGCTGGAAGTCCTGCTGTCTCAGGTTGGCCAATGGCAAGAACAGCTGCTCTTCTGGGGGGAAATCCTCCCAGCGCCTCCATGTCCAACCTGAAAAAGAAATAATTAATGAATCTGAATCTTTTAGTTTAATACTGCAGCAATATTCAGATGTGTTTGCTTGACATTTAGGAACTTTAAGATATAGTCTAATTAAAAATGACTCACTAATTCTTCAGTATTATCTACAATGATATAAAAAAAATGATTTCCATTACACGAGAGTAGATGTTAAAACTTCATGCTGATTTGTACTCGGCTTTCGCCAAGATAAGCAAAACTAAGACGTAGCTTTACAGTAAACTATGCTTCTCCCTCCATTTACGCTTCTTTCCATAAGGTGGTGTGACTCCCCTTCTGTCCGGCGTTAACGGCAGCAGGGTACTTGGTGCGTCAGCGCACGCGACGGCTGCAACTACAGGACCAGCACGACAACCGTCTGGATTGAACCGAGTAGGGGACATCTCTAGGGTCTTCAAGTGGGCACCTTCCGTCCTCAGTGTTTCGTCGACTAGCCCACGACACCTCAAGAGGGCTCGACAGTGACTCTGGCGTCCCAGAGTCACCCCCCTCCGTCCCCCACTCAACTCAGCCCAGCTTACTGACCTCTACATCCCTCCTGCTGCTGAGACCTAACCACAATATCACAATCTCTCCGCAACCCGACCATACGCGCCAACCCGTTGACTAAGGCTGTCGAGCCCCACTGGTGCGTTAATATGCAGTTTCAGTGGACAATGGTTCCGTATGGCATACCACCTACCGCAAAACACAATATCTGCCCAACCACCCGTCATTCACGCAATATCCACAGGAACGTATACAAACAAACAAACCAACAGACTCTTCAAGTTTTCAAGAATTCTACTAAACCGTAGCGTGGCGGCCTGTACACAGCCAGCTAGAATCTTTCCGTCTCAACCACAGCCAGTTGCTGCTCCTTTCTGCTGCTTCAGATAAGTTCTTTACTGTGCGACGCAACTCTTGGCCGCTGAATCCGATGTCTCTGAGGAACCGGGTTGTAGAGTGTGCCACAAAACCTCGACAACCCACTTCCACTGGATAAACCTGGACTCTCCATCCTCGCTGTTCTGCTTCAGTGGCCAGATGAGCATACCGCAGTTTCTTCCTCTCATATGCCTCATCTACCGCATCCTCCCATGGCACTGTTAACTCTATCAGTTGAACAATGCGTGCTGATCCAGACCACAAAACAATATCTGGTCGTAGGTTAGTGGTGGCAATCTCAGGTGGAAAAATAAGCCGTTGGTCAAGATCAGCCAGCATCTTCCAGTCCCTAGCAGCTTCCAGTTGTCCTGGGCGAGAATTGGTGTTCACAACTTTTCTTGGTGGTTGCTCGCCTTGGCGGAGGAATATTGTCTTCTGCGTGTAATGTTTTGCTAGAACAGGTGGCAACTTATTGGTCATGTTACGCTTGCCTTCTAATGCGAAAGCCAAACATCGCAGTACTTGGTCATGGCGCCAAGTAAACCGACCTTGGCTAAGAGCCACCTTACATCCTGTCAAAATGTGCCTTAATGTGGCAGGTGATGAACACAAAGGACAAGAGGGATCCTCTCCTACCCAGAGGTTTAGGTTCTGCGGTGATGGGAGAACATCATATGTTGACCTAATAAGGAAACTGATCCTACTCTCTTCCATTGACCAAAGGTCTCGCCAGCCCATCTTACGTTGTTCCACACTCTCCCATCTCATCCACTCTCCCTGCTTGGCCTGGGAAATGGCCTTTATACACCTCATCCTCTCCTCCTGCTGTCGCACCTCATTGACTACCAGCTTCCTCCTTTGAGCTGGGCCTGCCTTGTGCCATTTAGGAGGAGCTAAACTGAGCCCAAAACCCCCTCTTCCATGCTGTACCTGTCCCACGATATCCCTAATTTGAAGGGCAGCCTTTGCCTCTACTACAGATTTCTTTGCTGACCACTTTCTACCAGTTTTTAACACAGGGGCTGCCTCCCTTACACATTTGTCGCGTGACTCTACTAAGGTCATTTCCAGTCTGACCTTGGCACACTTGAACTCCTCGGTTAAAGCAGAGACTGGCAGCTGCAATATTCCTTTACTATAAAGTCCTACTCTGCTGAGGCAGCGTGGAACTCCCAACTATTTCCTGATGTATGAACTTATCAACGCTTCCAGCTTATCCACTGTTGTCAAAGAAACGTCGTACACGGTCAGTGGCCACAGCAACCTCGGCAGTAGACCAAACTGAAAGCACCAGAGTTTTAGTTTACCAGGTAGAGCACAGCTGTTTATGCTCTTCAACCCTTCCACTGCTTGTTGTCTAACTTCTCCCACCCGAACTGTGTCCTTTAGATCCCCATCGTACCATCTCCCAAGACTCTTCACTGGCTTCTCAGAAACTGTTGGTATTGCCTCACCATTAATGAAGAATGTTTTATCTACTACCTTTCCTTTAACTATCGAGATGCTCCTTGATTTAGAGGGCTTAAATTTCATTCGTGCCCATTCAATATTATCTGTTAACTTCCCCAATAACCGATTAGTGCAGGCTACTGTTGTAGTCATGGTTGTCATGTCATCCATGTATGCTCTGATTGGTGGTAGTCGCATCCCAGAAGCCAAGCGCTCTCCTCCTACTACCCATCTTGATGCCCTCATGATTACTTCCATCGCCATGGTAAAAGCCAGTGGAGAAATGGTGCATCCTGCCATTATTCCAACCTCTAGGCATTGCCATGCAGTGCTGAATTTTGGAGTTGAGAAACTGAATTGCAAATCTCCAAAATAGGCTTTCACTAAATTTGTTATTGACATTGGTACTCTGAAAAAATCAAATGCTGCCCAAAGAAGCTCATGTGGCACTGAACCATATGCATTAGCCAAATCCAGGAATGTCACATGGAGCTCCTTCCTCTCCTTTTTAGCTGACTGAATTCGTTGCCAGATAACATTGATGTGTTCTAAGCATCCTGAGAACCCTGGAATGCCCGCTTTTTGAACTGAGGTGTCAATGAAGCCATTCTTTAACAGGTAGGTGGACAATCTCTGGGCAATAATGCTGAAGAAAATCTTACCCTCAACGTTTAATAGTGAAATGGGACGAAACTGACTGATGCTTGTAGCATCTTTTTCTTTAGGTATAAAGACTCCACCTGCTCTGCGCCATGCTCTAGGTACAACCTGTTTTTCCCATGCCACTTTTATCAATTTCCACAGAATTCGCAGAACTCCTGAAGCACTCTTGTACACTCTGTACGGAACTCCATTAGGCCCTGGAGATGATGAAGCCCTTGCCTTTCTCACAGCGTGCTCTACCTCTTTCCACTTAGGTGCACAAACCTCCATTTGGTATTCTGGTGGGTTGATAGGTGGTATGTCTGATGGAATTGACATAGGCTCATGCCTTTTTGCATCTGTATGCGTGTACTCCAAATATCTCTCTAGCTCAATCCTAGATGTTTTTAAAGTGCCATTCTTCTCACTGGTGAATAACTTCTTTACGAATTTGAATGAGTCTTTATAGAAATTAGCCCTTGCACGTTCCTTCTTTTTGTAGCGTTTCCGTAGGCGCTCAGCTCTGCGTAATGTTGCCAGCTTATCTTTTATGGCCCTTTGTAAGAGATTGAGTCCCTCCTTCTGACATTGTTCTGCTCTTTTCCATTGCTTCCTCAGCTGTCTCCTTTCTCTAACTAACCCTTCAATTTTCTGCTGCCGTCTAGACATTCCAGGAGTAGTTTGTACTTTTTCCTTCCTTTTTTCCACACCAAACCTCTCACTTCCATATGCGTAAATGATGTCCCCAAATTTATCCAGCTTCTTTTCAACTGTACCAGTTAATCTTTCCAATGCAAAGCATAGATCTGTGTTTACCGTGTCCCATGCAGTTTTCTCACAAGCTCTTGGCCATCTAACTCCAGGCCTATGCCCGTTGAGGTTCTTTTCTCTCTTATGCTGGTTAGCCTGACCGGGTTCACAAGTATGAATATGTTCATCACTAACTGTGCAAGCCCTCCTTTCGTCAATGACAGGGGTGCTGATATCCTGCGAGCTGTGGTTTGCTTCCTGTCGCTGGATTTCATTCGACTGACTTGACTGACTTCGCAAGAAGTACTGATCAATGCGAGGCCCTTGTCCCTTCTCCCTCAAGCATTTCATTTTCCCTTGATGAACCTTCAAACCCCTGACCGTTGTCGCCTTGCTCCAGCCACAGGCACAAACTTGGAGTTCAATGACTTTACTTACTGCAGATCTTGAACTAGTCTTACTCTCCATACTCATATCCGTTTTCATTCCTAAGTCGTTAACCATGTTGTCCAACATTGAGTCATCTTCCGCCCCCGCTCTCGCAGACTCTAGGGGTATTTTTCTCTTTAATTTCTCAGAAGCCTTGGGCGGGTGTCTCCAGCATCCTGTAAACACGGAGCTGGATACTGCCGACAAGGGTAGCTAACCCTTACCAGCCCCATTGGGGTCTCTTTCCTCCTGTCAGCTGTCTCTCCAGGCTGTCACAAGGTCTTTCCCTGGTTGCCAGCAGCACTATTCACCGCAGTCACTGGATGTATCCAGATCTTCATGATTTCCATTACACGAGAGTAGATGTTAAAACTTCATGCTGATTTGTACTCGGCTTTCGCCAAGATAAGCAAAACTAAGACGTAGCTTTACAGTAAACTATGCTTCTCCCTCCCTCCATATAACAACACAATGAACTCATTTCTATTCAAAAGGTCACTACTTATAACATACACTCTAAAAAAATATGGTTCTTTAAAGGTTCTTTACGCGTAACAGTTCTATTTAGTACCATATCGTCCCGCAGATGCCTTTATATGCTGAAATGGTTCTTCTTTGTGTTAGGAGTTTAGGGTTCTTTATTCCCGCCTTTTGTTTTTCAAATTTGTAACTGTCAAAGCCTCCTTGTTACTGATTTTCTGGAGCTCAGCTATACAACTACAGTTACTACACTCCATACTGTCAACAGGTACATTCTTTCTTTTTTAAAATGTCTATAAAGTATAACTTTAAAAATTGTAACAATCATTTCCTAACAATCATGTTTTTTTCTCTTTTAGTTTAACAGAACATGTAGTGTGAGCAGCTCTGTTCAGTTAAGGTACTCTTCTCTTCTCCACAGAGTAACAGAGATATGGAATTTTTTTATTTTTTTATTATGACTTTATGCCTAAACATACCCAGTCACAAAAAAACATTAAAGCTATACCATAACTTTATATCACTTTTTGCTTTTAACATGGTAAAGGGCTCATTCTGTCCATTTTTGCAGATGAACATAATTCATAATTCCATTCTTCATGAACATAATTGTTTTTACATAATCAAATGGAAAAGACACAATGTAACTCTAAACTCATTTGTGTATCTCAGATGCTGTCACATATCATAACCTCATCGCCTGCAGAGAGAAACTGCCACTCAGAATACACACATAATGAAGGACGTAAAGACATCATGGATTGTGAAGATATTTCACTGGAACTTGGACTTCATTACATCTATATCGTGTTAAATGTCAATTGTTCTTTATTAATGTATTCAGCTAACAACTGTTATTAGAGCACTGTCATTTTTGCTACAATCTGCCATGTCAATAAAAAATAAAAGTAGGCTACATGGAAAAAACATGATGTTTAAAAAAAAAGAAGTAAAACCCAAATAGAGGCAACAAGATATAAGACCAGGCAGATAGAGGGCTTAAAAAAACAACATTAATTAATAAAACATAATATTAATAATATGAAGATAATATACTAATAGTAATTTAAATAAATATTGTTGAAAAGGTTATTTATAACACCATTAAGGTTCTATATAGCACTTTCAAAGCATGGTTCTTAATAGAACCTTTTAAAAGGGTTCTATTTAGCACCAAAAAGGGTTCTGCTATTGTTACAAGCCGAAGAACCCTAATTTGGTACTGTTTAGAACCATTTTTCTTAAGAGTGTAGAAATTCAAGCATTGTTTTATACAATGCATGGCTATATGTAAACATTGAGTAAATCTAAAGTTAGATTTGCTGCCAGTCATATATAGCTATTCTGGCCAAAAAGCCCCCATTTAGAAGTTTAGATTCAGTTACATTTAGAGCCTATAACCAACATGTAAAGTGACCAATCATTGTTTGTTTTTAAGAGCCCCTATTATGCGATTAAAGGTTCCTCATTTTGTTTTGGAGGTCTCACTCCTACAATAGGTTAACATGCATCATAGCCTACTCTGCTCTGATTGGTCAGATGGCTCAGTCTGTTGTGATTGGTCTACAGCTTTTACAGCATGTGTGGGAAACGAAACACCCATTACCATATTTGTATTTCAGGTCCGGAGCTTCCACACAGTGATACAAACAGTAACAATGGCGTCGGTTTTACCGTATCGATTTGAGCTTGAGTCCTTATACTTAGGAAGTGCATGCAAAGTGGATTTACTTTCGCAACGCAGAAAATAGCATTCTCAACATGTCAATAGCACTTACCAAACTACAGTGTTTGAGGGTGGGTCAAAGTAGACATTGTTCGCAGGCAGCCACTAAAGACCATAAGCTGGCATTATGCAATTTTGTTACAAACCTACGTAGGCTTGTGCAGGAAGTAAGGCTGGAATTACTAACGACTCGTTTCAGCAGTTCAGAATCGGTTCTTTCTTTTGGGAGACAATGGCTGTGTCTGAAATTCACCCCTATACTCTTAAAGGGATAGTTCACTTTGAAATTAATTTTTGGTATGTTTTAGCTTACCTCAAGGGCATCCAAGATGTAGGTGTCTTTGTTTCCGCAGTAGTTTAAATTTTGATATTTTTAGGTCAAACCGTTCTTGTCTGTCAGTCATATAATGCAGGTCTATGGTCACCACCTCAAAGAGCATGCACAGAGAAGTCCAAATTAAACATGATTTAATGACTCGTAAATGTAAGTACACATTGATGGCATAAGACACGAAACGAGCGGTTTGTGTGAGAAAACGAACAGTATTTATATCGTTTTTACCTCTTGTAACCACAGCCACATCCAAGTGATCTGAGGGCGCAGGCGCTTCGGTCTGCACAAGCGCCAGAAAGCGCCAGAAGTGATCTCTCGCGCGAGTACGTCACTTATACGTGAACTATCCCTTTAAATAGGGCACTATTTGAGGGGACAGCCATTTGTAGAGAGGTCCGAAACCATAGTGGACGTTATCGAGTGCACTCATTTTATCCCATAATGCACTGCAATAACGAGTGTACAACTGATGTACACTCAACAGCTAGAGCAGGGTTTCTCAACTCTGGCCCTCGAAGTCCACTTTCCTGCAGAGTTTGCGAATAGCACAGCTAATTGAACACAGCTAATAACTCCATTTATCAAGCACTTTAATCTTTAAAACTTTACAGACCTTTTACATTCATATTTTACAAACAGCTATATATTACACACTAATATCAGAAAAAGCATAACAGGGGCACTTTAAATAATAGTTTGTCTAACATATCTAATATTTTTAATAACAAAAACATGCATTTAAGCCTTTAATTCTTGTAGCTATATTAAAAAAAAAGTTTTAATACTTGCTCAAAACTACTAAAACATGTTGTAATGGTGACTGCCAAGTTGGCGTGAGACAGATAATAGTCTCTCACATGACAGATTTTTATCACGATCATAATAAATGATCTGTGGGTGGGCCATCTGGGGCTGAGACTACACAGGCTATAACACATTCAAAGAAACAATTTACCTTCATTTTTCTCTGGCTCCAAATTAACTGGTTCGGCTGAGAAAGACCTGTCCAGTTCTCCCTGCATGAAGATTGTGATATAATGGTAGTTTTCTTCCAGTCTGATGGAGTTGACGACGGATACAAAGCGAATGCTCTTCAGACGGACACCAGCTTCCTCCATCACCTCTCTCTGGGCACACTGCTCCCAAGTTTCTCTGATAAGTGAAATTCATTTGCAAGCAACCCATGTGTATAAATGCATTAGCACACAAGAAAACATGAAGGTAACATGAATAAGCAGGAATTATAAAGGAAGGAACATAAATGTCTTTCTAATTTGATACTGTAAACTCACCCGAATTCAATGTGACCTCCTGGTAATTGGTAGGTGCCTTTCCCAACTATAGTTTTTCTTTTTCCTAACAGGACACATCCTGGTTTGGAGGAGTCTGTCACAAGAACCCCAAGTCCCACTCCAGGACGTTTGAGGAAGGGTTTTTCATTTTGAACACCCTCAGACATTGGATTTTAACTGTAATGAAACACAGTAACTGAATTTAAACTGTAGTGAAACACACTAACTGTTATATAGATGTAGTCCACACATTTTGTCAGTTTAATCTCTACAATTTATTCTGATTTCTGAAGGATCATGACCATGAAGAGTGAAGACTGCAGTAATGGCTGCTAAAAAAAATCAGCTTTGCTGTCACACAGGGATAGCATTAAAAACATTTAAAAATAGGAATTATTCCACACATTTGAACTTATTAGTGTAAACTTAATCACTATTTTTTGTATTTTAGAGTAAAATTGTGCTTTTTTAAATTTAGACATCAATATATCTTGAGAAAAGGATGGAAGATCCATGAATGTGTACAAATGACTGATAATCATGCACAATTAAAATGATGGATATTATAGAAACTCATATTTAGGCAATTATTGTCGTCTTTCTGTTATAGTTTATATAAAAGCCATACCTAGAACTTAAGTAGATGAAGGTGGATGAAAAAATGTATAGATCTGCTTAATTGTCACATGTAATTTTTGAATGAATCAGGTCAATAATTCAATAACACAAAAAGACACTCACGTGCTGCCATCTACTGGCGTAAGAATGTAAACAGCAGAAAGAGTCGATGGAAGATTCTTTTTTTGAGAGCAGATTGAAAAGATTAGAGTCAATGAAATGACTCAAAACTAGTGAGAGAATGAAAAACACGTGCAATGCTGGGTATCGGCATGAGAATAAAGCAACACAGCTTTAGTGGAAACCACAACGTAGTCTAAACTTACCTATCCTTCTTACTAGAGAGTAGATAAATCTCGTAATAGAGCATGTGTTTCAAGACCTGTCTCGTGATGTCCGTGGTCTATGAGATGTACAAATGGTATCAAATCATATTTATTCCCAAAAGAAATCAAATCTTGTCACAATCAATCAACACACATCATGAACTGATTTGAAAAGCTTTGGCTCATGTCATGAGGAAGGAAATACCCAGGCGCGATTCTCGAAGCGCAGTTGCGCAGTTGACGTACGTGCTAACGCAGGCGCGTCCAGTCATTTGTTTTCTGCTGCGCTGCTTGTACACAGAGCAACATGGCGACGTCCCTGATCTGTGGCCGGTTGTCCGCTGGACTGAGGAATTCCGGCTCCAGGACGAGTTTAAGCTCGGCAGCTAAGGTCAGTTGTACGTACACACATCAGATAACTATACCCGATTGTCGTTTGTGAAGTGGCTTGCTGTTTTGGTCTCTTTCAATGACACCAAATGGGCGAATCTCCTTTGACATTAGCCGTCAGGCTAGCTGCCTGTCATTATTAGGAATGCTTAGGTTAGCAAGTCTATTCATTCTCCTTTGAGTGGATGTTCTTTTGTAGTCTGACCAGATTCACGTAAAAATATCTGGGATTTTAGTGTGTCTGTTTGTTTATGTGGCTATCCTACACACTGTAACGTTACATGTCATATTGGTTTACTAGTTAACTTTGACCTACATGGACAGAGGGACAGTCTGTTTTGTTTCACTTCAGTGTATCTGTTCACTGTAGTGCCGCCTGGTTAATAAAGTTAACTCCTGAACAACTGAGAACTGCAATTGTGCCTGTTATATTGAACACAAATCTAAATGTAAAAACCTTGCTGAATCATACATTTGTTGAGATTAAGAATCGTATGTCTTCTGTTTGGTCATTGGAAGGTTGTACCCTTGAGTTAGCCACCCAGGTAATTCCCTATTTTTATTGTGCTGTGGAGTACAGCAAATTAATAATTAGTAATTAATTAGCCAATTAATGATATTGCTGGTGCAGACTGTCTTTTAAAAGGTATTATGATCCCACATTTCCTAATGTCTCTCTTGTTGAGAGGCTTGACTTTACTCTGTTCCTTTTCAAATCCTTTACATAAAAACATGGATAATAAAGATAGTCACTTATTTTTTGCATTTTACAGATTTAAATGGTACGGTTTTATTGTTTTAAATGTAGGCATCAAGATATTTAAGGAAGAGGGTGTGAGAATTCTTAACGTGTAAAAATGACTGATGTCCATGCACAATTCAAATTATGGATACTGTTAAATATTGTACCAAGAAATTGACAAAGTTGAGGAAAATTAATAGATCTACTTAATTATCAGTAATAATTATTTTTATTTTTTACTGCGCCTTTCCAAAAATAAATCATAAATCAGTTTGTAAATTATTCAATATTGATTCAATAATGATTCAATTGAATAAAAGCCACTCACTTGCTGCCGTCTACTGCCGTATGGATGTAAACTGCAACGAGTCACTGTAAGAACCTTTTTTCTTGCAAATCTGAGATTTTCCCTAGTCTTGCTTCTGTTTGTGAATATTGTTTCAGCAATACACAAAAGTACGTGTTTGCAGTGTAAATACGACAATGGCTTTTTAGCAATAATATCCCTTGTGTTGCAGTGTAACCAGGATTTCTATGTGGAGTTGGAATTAATTTGTATCTTTACATCCAATTACCAGGTGCTCGGTGGGACATCAGGTCTATTTGGTAACCATGGGAACCAGCCGTCCCCAATGCTGTCATTGCAGCAGCAGAGAAACCTCTCCCTGCATGAGTACATGAGCATCGGGCTGCTGAAGGAGGCGGGCATCTCTGTGCCCGCGGGTATGGTTGCCAACACACCCGACGAGGCTTATACTGCAGCCAAGCAGATCGGTAAGAACATATGAACATATGCTGCTGGGTGGGCACTGAGGAAAATATACATATATATTCTTCTTAAAGGGACTGCATAACTGTAGTCATGAAATATGAAGATTTATTTAATGTATTTTACACATTGGACTGGACTATTTTAGCACGATGACGTGCACAGCTTACTCTCCGCAGGCCAGATTATGGTGTTTTGAACAGGACAGCTGGATTACCCTATTTTAAGGTCTTAAATGTGCTGTGTGTTTGTGTTTCAGCTGTTGTGCTGTTCTCAATCATTCTGCAGTCTAAACATAGATTTGTGCCACCTCTGGAGAATGTGGCTGCCCTAACCTTTAATCTGACTGTCAGCATATAGGCAGCGCCGGCACAGACCCGTGATGGACAAGCAGTGCTGTTCGCTTGAATAAAGGAGGGTAGTGTGTCACAAGCATGGAGGAACTAGCTTTGGACTGAGAGACGTGCACAATAGAGAGCAGGTTTATATGACCTAACAGTCCAGATCTTGGTGTAATCTGTGTCTCAGAGCAGCACAAGCCTGGATTTTCTGGTGCCAAATAAATATATTTCTGGTAAACGCAACAAACTGAGCATTCAGGGTTGCAGAGAGTGGGAGTTTTTTATTTGCAAAATTGCAGCGTGGACAAAGTTGGAAATATCCAAAATTTCACAATGAATCTTTTTGCCGATCAGTGGTAAAATGGTGTTTCGTGGGGCACTTCCTTTTTTTCTGAGCTCCAACATGGTACAACTTTTAGTGTTAGTTCACCCGGCCAGAGCTGACGTTTTTTTCTGTCATTATTTACTCCTTGATGTTTTCTGAAACCCCTATAACAGATGTTCTTCTGTGGAACTCAAAAGAAGTTCGACAGAATCTTCATGCCACTATTTTCCATACATTGAAAGCAAGTGCCAAAAAGGAACTAAACAAAAATGTGATAAATAATATAATGAAAAACAGTAATATTGTGAAAAAATACTACAATTAAAAATAACTGTTTTCTATTTAAATGTATTTTAAAATTTTCAGCATCATTACTCCAGTCTTCAGTGTCACATGATCCTTCAGAAATCATTCTAATATGCTGATTTGCTGCTCAAGAAACATTTCCTATTATTGTAAATACTATTTTTTTGTCAGAATTCTTTGCTTCGAAAGTTCAAAATAACAGCATTTATTTGAAATCTAAATCTTTTGTAACATTATAGGTGTCCTTGCTGTCACATTTATCAATTTAATGCATTCTTCCTGAATAAAAGTATTAATTTCTTTAAAGAAATCTTACTGAAACCAAACTTTTGAATGGTGGTTTGTATATATATATATATATATATATATATATATTTAAAAAAAAACAGTCCTGAAATTCAAGCCATTGTGTAGGAAAAGAGCAGCGTAACATCTCCTTGTTAGGAACAATTTTTATATATATATATATATCTTTGTGTTAATAAAATATATAATTCTGTCTGTTTATTGAAAAGAGAGGCTTGTAAAGTTACAAATTCCAGTAGATATTGCATAAAACTCTGCCTTATTGTTCCAAGCAGGTTAATCATTCTCATTGGCGTCGTTATGCAGTTTAAATCCTTGTAAATCAAAACTATGACTTGCGTCATGTTGTTTGGTTGCGTTACATTGATTTGCCTTGCCTTGCACAAGCCCGTTCTGTGTGTGTACAGCAGCTCAGGTTTAGGGACTGTAGGTAATTACAGAGTGACTCATTGGTTGAGGATGCAGCAGTTGTGTACTGGATCTTTCATCTGTCAATTTAATTGATCTTTGTTTGTTTGCTAATCTCCTTTGAGCATGGCCATATGTTTTTGTCAAGGTTTTTTTTTCTCATTATTGTTTACTCTTTCTCTTTTCTCAGGCTCTAAAGACCTGGTGGTAAAAGCCCAAGTGTTGGCGGGTGGTCGAGGCAAAGGCACTTTTGAGGGAGGATTTAAGGGCGGAGTCAGAATAGTTTACTCGTGAGTGTTGGTGCCGACACAATTGTTCAATGCTTTTGCTTTATTTCACTTCCCATTTCATCTCTTTGTCTTCTCAACCTCTATGTGTCTGCAGGCCCGAGGAAGCGAGGGATATCTCCTCTAAGATGATTGGCAAGAAGTTGTTCACTAAGCAGACAGGAGAGGCAGGGCGCATCTGTAACCAAGTGTTTATCTGCGAGCGTAGATACCCACGCAGAGAGTATTATTTTGCCATCACCATGGAGAGGTCTTTCCAGGTGAGAGGTCACAGTTTGTCAATAATACTGTGTGGTTTATCTATGAAATTGCTTTGCATATGATTACATTCAAGTACAAAGTCTTTTAATAACAAGCATTAAATAATGACATCACCACTTCACATGCTGCAGTAAGCAAAGTGGCCAGTAGAGGTCAACTTTTACTCGTGTCATGACCTGAAAT